TGGAACTTTATCAAGTTTAAACGAGCCACCAGCGCTCCTTCCTCTTCTCGCACACCGTACCTTTCTTAACATTATTTTCTATCTCTCTCGTTAATAACGGTACCAGCTCTCCTTTTGTTTTTGTTTTCAGAGAAGGAGTCGTACGGTGAAAAGAAAACGCACGACATCAAGCAAAAATAGGCTGATAGGGGTAACGTTAACGTCTAACGCAAATGCACCGAACAATACAATCAAGTTACTTAACCTATGAAGTGTATTTTCCAAGCGCCGAATCAACAGTCTTTGAGCTGACCCAGGTCAAGATATCAACTTCATGGCTAACTTATAGATCTAATCAAATTTAACTTGTTAGGATAGGTGCAGTAAGGAAAATGGAAGAAGCTAGGTAAACCCCCAAAATAAAGAGAGAAATTTAACATGACTCTACTTAAATGCGGTGCTGAGTCTAATAATGAAACCCAAGACCCCAGAGGTAAAGAGATTGTAACCAGTCAATCACCCTTGACTACCTACTTAGAATGCGTCTGTTTCTGAGTCCCCCTTACGTTCACAGTGACTTGTTCTATGCCCATGCTTTGCATATCTTGTAAATACGTTATCCACTTTTCATTGTCTGTAGAAAATCAATAGACAAGGTTATATTTGAATTAGCAACGGTTAGAGTGGCAATAAATAGTGTCGCGGATCGATAACTATTCCCCGATAATCCCTTTGCCCTAGATGAATAATTGTAAAATATGGCGATTTTTTAGTTGAAAATTACCCATAATGCATCAGATGTATTGATATTCATTTTAAATGCAGAATTTTTAAAAAGCGCTGTATTTTGTATCTTGCTTTGTGATCAGCATAGGGCAATACGATAAGAGAAGCAGAATATATCCCATCGTTTTTAATAATCTTTTTTTGAAATATTAACACAGTTTGTGGGTAATATTTGTAGCACTGACATGCAGATTTATGCACTTCATTATGCTTTCTGCCTATTAGCTTCTCAGCCGACGTCTCTTTTCAGTTACTTGCTTTGGTGCTTGGAGTATTTGTGAGCCAAAGAAACTGGACTCGG